AGACGAAACTTTAATATATCTCGATTTAAAAACACATTCATAAGCCATACATACAAAGGGAACAATGTGAAAGAGCAGCATTGTAAGAAATTATCCTTTAGCACAAAAAATAATGGGCATAATAATCACAATAACAGTAGGAACGCCTTAAATTATAAATTTTCCAAAAAAGGAAAAGACGAAAAAGAGATAAATTTTTTCTCAAATCCAAATTATAAAGTAATTAATTCACAGCCAAAAAGAAATTTAAGCGTTTTTGGATATAACAGAGGAAAACTCTTCGTGAGCATCAAGAAAGACTTCACCAGTTTTTCTGTTAATTCCTTAATCATCTTCGTCTTCCTTTACTCCGTTTACACATTAGCACCCAATGAAACTGTCTCGCAAAGAAGAAAAAGAATTATCACAGAGAGATTGATGAAAGAGTATGATATCTCTGCGAGTGATCTTGAAATGATTGAGCAACTGGACGAAGTTTCAGAAGAGTAAAAATGTGTGCAGAATTTGGGGTGCGCATTGGAAGGCTAGCCTTTGAGCGCTTACTTCGACCACTTCGACCGCCTCTACCTCTTCCGCTCCGTCGGATTATTTTCATCTTTCCACTTTTTGAACGCAATCGTTGAAACAGTTTGTTTCCGTGTATGTCCCACGCGTTAGTCATATATCTCCCACGCTGTAACTGTTAATCTGGTATTTTTTTTTTTTTCATTCTTATGTTAAAGTGTCATCATGGAGCATTTTTCCCTTTTCTTAAGTTTCGCACAAAAAAAAAAAACGAAACAAAAAAGAAAGGAATCATGAGTAAGATTTTCTGGTTTGCTTACACGTTGGGGCAGTTCAGGCGTGCCATAATTGCATCAAGAAATTATGACAGTTGTGAAATTATCGCAGCTGTAGATAGCAACAAAATGAACGGGTAAATTAGGCGAACACAAAAAGGTTCCACCCAATATATGCTACTGTGCAATTTCCATTAAAACAAAAATTTCATTTGTTGATCCAAGTTTTTAATATTTAAAAGATTGAATTTACAAAAAGATAAGAAATTACTGTAAAGTAAATTGAAACAAAGAGGAAGAAAAAGTTTTAACAAACATTAAATGAATATGTACAATAGTTTTGTTTTGTATCAATATTTCTTTAAAAATACGATTGGAATTAAAAAAAAAAAAAAAATATACATATGTACATATAAGTACATATATAACGGCTGCGTAGCAGCTATATAATAATTACATAAAAATGGTAGATTCTGAAAAAAAAGGGGGAACCTAGACTAGACGCGTTTGGTACCCTATCTGCTGAATTTATTTCCGCGAGCCACAGAACCGTACGTCTGTTTGGTAGCTATGAGGGGAAGGGGAAAAAGAAACACATAAACATATAATCATGTACTTATAACCATGTACTTATAAACATGGACTTATAAACATGTACTTATAAACATGTACTTATAATCATGTACTTCTAAACATATACTTATAAACATGTACTTCTAAACATATACTTATAAACATGTACTTATAAATATATATGTACAAATGTGCGCACACACGTGCGCGCCGCGTGCTTATGCACACAGAGATAGCGCCTCAAACGACTCCAGCAGGGACACGAATTTGCTGCAAATTTAAAAAGCAGCTTTACCTGTGTTAAACGGCAAATACTTAAACTTGATCATATTTTTTATCTGCTGCTTCATAGTTGCAAAAAATAAACAGATGAAGTAAAAAAGTAATAGGGGCCAAAATACTGGTATGTCCAGAAATGGAAAAAAGGTACAAAATATTGATATCAAGACAGCTCTACTGGCATACAGCCAGAATTTAAATTCGTTCAGTTTTCTTAAGAATGGCCTAAACTCTTTCTTATCATCAGGATTGTTCTCATTTTTTCGTTCTGTCGTCTGTTTCATGGGGAGTAATAAACCGTTATTTTCATTTTCATACTGCTCATATATTTCTTCTATATTGTGAGGGGTTAAAAAACGCAAAAACAAGTTTAGTAAAAAAATGGATAGCGCATATGACACTACATAAAACCCCGTCACGTAATATACCCTAAGAACGTATAAACTAAATAACCCCAATAAACCAAACCATCTTGTTTTTAGATATAGCGTCGTCTTATCAATATAGTAATTATGCGTGTTAATTATTTTTTTACACAAATCTGGAAGCGTCGTTTCTGTTTCATCCATTTTTTTTTTTTTTTTGGTATCTCTATTAAATTAGTGTTTAACTCGTTTGACCTTGTCTTGTTAAACTTCTGTTTACATTTATTATTAACAGTTCTGTTACATATATGCTTCATATAGGAAAGGAATCTGCCTGTTACATGTGGACATGCACGTGCGTATGTTAGCATATATTAGGGTGCATATGTGTATACATACGTGGGTTGACACAAATTTACACTAAATAACACTATACTGTGTATTATTACGATAAGAAAAGAAACCTACAAAGGAGTTCTGCGCAAATATAACGTACTTTACATAACATATTTGTGCATTTTACTATTTTTAAAACTATTCTTCGCAATTCTAGAAAAAATTACCGTCTCTGTCTTAAATGACACAAATAAAATTTACACAAAATTACCTGTACGGTTTAAACATAATGTGCATTTTATTGAGTCTTTACGAAAAAAGTTTACTCAAAAAGTTTACTCAAAAGTTTTACTGAAAAAAATATTTCCCCTTGAAAAAAAAATTTTCTTAAAGTAGCCCTTTACCATATAAACATAACATATGCATACGTATGCGCGCGTACGTATATTTATGAGGATTTAATACGTATGTATAAATTGTTTGATATATCTTCATATACATGCCAGTGAATTATATACAAGTAACCATAAAACTCGAAAAACTTCGAACGATCAGCAGATTGCGGGCATCCGTATATTTTTACATTTTCCGCAAAATCGTGTTTTATGAAATATACAAAATTGTATCATAGCGATTTTGTGATCAAAATCATGCTTCATCAAGATTATATGAACTTCTTATACAAAACAGTAATTTAACAATAGCACTTTTTTTTTTTGTACGAAATTTATGGCATAATCAATATATTATTATGCCACATATAAGGAACGTTTCGTAAAAAAAAGATAAGCGCATTTTTTCAAAGCCTTTTTTTAAGATAAAGTATGTAGCCATTTCTTGCCAAATGGATGAACGTGAATGTTTCAATATTCCTCATAATTTAAAAAAAAAAAAACACTTAACAATGCAGTAGTTTTCTTATAAAAAGTGCATATATAAGAATGCGATAAGCAGTTCTGTGGATACAAAAGAAAAGGAATGTTTTCTATATGCCACAAGTAAATGGTGGAGCCCTTTTTTTTTTTTCCATACTTCCTTATATAAAACCCATTTTAATAAACAAATTAAACAATCCCTCTTTTGCAACCAGGCGGCAAAATAAAAAACGAAGAAAGATAAAAAGATATGTTTAAAAGTGAGTTGACAAAAAATTTTTAATGCTCTGAAAATTAATAAAAGTCCTACCACATAACTACATTGTTTTAAAAAAAAAGAGAATTATCCAAATGGTTGCAAATAATACAACATGCATTTAGTTCATATAAAAATGATTAGCATACATACACCAAAAAAAAAAGACTTCTTATTTATGCATGGACCAATGTACCAAACCTTTTTCATAACATAGGGTTAAAGTAAAAGGAGGCCTTTTTTTTTACCTTTAAAATTAAAACATATTTACATAAAATAAGAAGGCGCAAACAAACGATAGAAAAGAAAAAATCACCCTGTAAGAAAAAACGAAGAATTTGTTTATGCTAAAAGAGGAGACTGAGTAAAAAAGAATAACGCAGCGTCGACCCACTATGTAGCGTTTTTCCCATTACGCAAAGTTAGTAAAAGCATATCATCAACAAAACCAAAGATATAATCGTAGAACAATCTGCGCTAAAAAAAAAAAAAAGCATTGTTCGCGTAGTTGTACATATTATGCATTCATGTATTCATGTCTTTATCCCTTTCTGGCCATTTCCCCCTTTGCACACCAATTGGTTCCTCCGAACTTCTAAGACATACACATACGGTATTCATAGCTCAGCATAAGAAATTTAAAATTATGAACACGTGGGATAAAAAAAAGGTAAAAAAGGTTAACTAGATTTTGGTAAAAAAATAAAAAAAAAGAGAGTAACGAAATATAGACATGGCCCGTCCATATGCATAAGCATAACTGTATCCAGATATGCTAAAGATTGCATGGAAAAATATATAAACAGGAAAAAGTATAAGTGCAGTAGATCTTAAAATTACGCGAATGGGTATATTTTGCTACTACATACATATACGTATGTATAGAAAAATATAACCATGCTCTTTTACTACCATACATTGGGTTTTCACTCAAAAATATGCAAATTTTCTGCCATAATGAATACATTTTTATGTATCAACAAACAGATCCATCCATTAGCACGTACACCCTTAAACACATATCGTTAAAACATACATTTGCTTTGAACATGTACGTGAAAGATTTACCCAATAGTGCGAAAATGGGGAAATACTATTCGCTTTAAAAAGCTATGCGAATACTAGCGCATGTTTGTACATGCACATACGCATACATTTCTAAATGTACATAAATCAACCACAAAAAGCTATGGGGGTCATAAACCAATGAAGAAAAAACAAAATTATGTTATCCATGTCCACATTCTTGGGAACTCTTAGCAACAACGACTTTTGTATATTTTTTGATCGCCCTGGTTGTTCAAGGCAAAAGTCTCAGGAAGATATCTGAAAAAAGTAAAACGTGGAAAAATTTCGCATAATGTTTTACACACACGTAATATGTGGCAGATGTGGAGGTTCACTAACGTTCCGTTGGGCAAAGCGGCATGATACAAGACCCATTTGCAAGGTTCCAAGGAACAATTTTCCCATGCCGTCCATATAAGCATAAATGGACATATTATTATACGTTCCCTTTTTATGCCATTTTGTTCCCTTACATTTGCTCCTCCTGGTGTTCCTGTTTCATGGCCTTTCTCGCAATTTCGTCAAACGCCTGATCCACATTAATAGCATTTTTTGCGCTCGTCTCAAAATAGGGAATGTTGTTGTTCGATTTGCACCACTGCAGGACTTTTAGCGATTGAACCTGGAAAGGTGAAACGAATGGGAAAATGAACGAATGGTAAAATAAATACACGGGTTTCTACAATCGCAAGCAGTCATGCTTATCTATAAACATACGAGCATGCTGCCAATAGGCAAAAGTTATTACTCGCACCTCTTATCAATTACCTTTCTCTTATTCGTCTCGTCAACTTTATTTCCAATTATGACAAAGGGGAAATTGTCTGGATCCTTTGGGCTAGCCTACAGGGAAAAAGAAGTTCCCGAGCAATTAAATAGCATTCAGGCGTGGGTACTTGTAGCCATACATATATACACACATATATACAAGCCTTCTTATGTACAGCACTACACTGACTATGGCTTTCTCCCTCTATTCGGTACCTGAATCAGAAATTCGTCTTTCCACGACTCCAACGATTCATATGTTTTGTAATTCGTTAAGTCAAAAACTAACACACAACAATCGGCCCCTCTGTAAAAAGCGACCCCCAGGCTTTGAAAGCGCTCTTGGCCTGCCGTGTCCCATATCTGAGAAGAATGTGAGTAGAGATGTTACTGCAATGATAATTCAACACATGAGCATATACGCATGCGTATAAATGTACAATCTTACGCATGTACTGTCATATACATGTGCATGACTTATGCGACATATGGGAAAAAAAAAATGATACATCTTAATAAAGCAACTAGGCACAAGTACATATTGCATAAGCCTTATTAGCAATTTTTCTCTCCTTTTCATTTAACTTGCATAGTTAGGTGTTCATTGTCAACTATGGTTTCCTTCGTTAAAAAATCGGCTCCAACTAACATGGGGGAGAAAAAAAAAAAATTATATAAATATAGCACACATTTAAAAAAGAAGAATTCACAGAATAATTCTTCAATATATTTTAGTTCATCCAATTACTTGTAGCCTTGTACTGATTCGTAAATTTCTTATTTACATATTGATTCATTAATGATGTCTTTCCAACACTGAAAAAGAAAAAAGAAAAGCGAGAAAATTAATGCACACAAGGGTATTATAACCAAGAAGTTGTACACATTGAAAAGGTGAAACATTTCCCTCTAAACCACTTAGTTCATATGATAAATAAATAGCAACGTCCAACCGGCCGCATTAAATTTAGGGTTAGCATGTGTACATAAAATAAACTACATTTATTTATTGAATATAAAAAAGGTTAGCCTTTTTTTTATAGTATGTTATTATATATTGAACATTTTCATATTTGATTATATCTTAAAGGATAGAAAGCCTCTGTAACATTTCAAGATCTATTTATTTGCTTAACGTATGTGTTGCTGAAGTTTAATTCGACTATTCATACGTCCATTTGGAGTGAATCATTTGGTGCAGGGCCCATTCGCTCATTTGTGTTTCTACTTAATATAACAATTCTCTTGCACCAAACAGCTCTAACGACGTGAGGCAATCCTATTTTGCAATAAAGCTTTTAAACGTCATTTTTATATATACAAATGTTCAGTGGTAAACATGTGTTTCTGCATCTGGGAGGCAACTTTAACAAACCTCCTATGTGAGAAGCCAAGTTCCAGTTCTCAAGAATCAGTTCAACTTCTTTCCCTATTGATGTATTGGTATTTTCTACTCACTTTCTCATCACTGCGGTGTGTGACATATACATACACATAACACATTGGGAGTTAAAAAATTGCATAATGTTGATCTCACTTTTAGTGGGACGTTGTTTCACAGCGTTACTCGTTTCGCGTTTCTTTTGTGTTTCTCTTTTATCATTCGTTCCATCTTTTAGTCTATCCACATGGGTGTCCCCTTAATTTTTTTTCTTTTCACCAACTATATCCATACACATACGTTTGCATATATACTTATGTAAATGTTCCCCACCCCCTGGTAAAATTTAACGCGGCTGTAATGTCGAGGTTTTCTACGTTTCCTAATTGCTTACCCACTATCCCCAAGAATGATAACTTTTAAAATGGTTCTTTTTTTATTTGACATAATTTTCTTCTAATGGTTTTCTTCCTTCGCGGTTATGTTTCTTAATTCGATTAAGCAGTATACGTCACAGTGCTATGATACCTGAATGTACGCGCAACGTATAATGTGTTTAAGCCATATGTAATTTTGTTCACAAATTTGCTTATTGATGCAATTCACTCATTTGGTTATGAAACGCATCTTTTTCTGTATTTTTTGAAATGTACTTTCGACGATATTTCCTTCGTCTTTGGGTTAATGTGAAACAAAACAAAGAAAAAAAAAAAATATATATCCTTAAGTTACATGTAAATTTTCAAAAAAAAAGAAAAATAAGAACAATTTTGCGTAAAATATACAAGAAAAAAATTAAACTCATTTTTTTTCCAAACATGTATATACATATGGCGGCATATAAACGTTATGAAAACTATTCACAAAGGTTAATCTTTTCTTTCTTGTCAATTTTGATCAGCTTAATAAGCATCAGATCCATATTTCTGTAGTAGTTGTAACACAGTAAAAAAAAAAAAAAAAGAAAAAAAGGAAAAAACATAAATTGCACCATATGTTACATGCCAATCCATGTGCACGTAGCACTATATTGCTAACAAATTTTAGAAATGTGAAGGGGCTGTGCCGCATGCATACAAAGGGTCACAACGAACAATACCTTTTCGTACACACACATTTAAATATACTTTCATACGAAAACATTTAGTTATGAAGGTAAATATTTTTTTAATATGCTTGTGTTGCTGTACGGACGGGCATGCGTCACATGTGTATAAGCACGCAATGAACATTTTGTTCTTTTCCACAACCAGTGAACATTCTTGTAAAATGCACGCAACAGAAGATACACTTCCTTTGAGGATTATTTTACTACTGTGCTTGTGAAAAATGGCTAGGTGTATGTTCAATTAAAAATAATTGGACAAAAAGTTGAATGTTTTTCTTAAAATTCCCCACGAATGGTGTAACAGTTGGATGTGTTATTTTTTTTTGGGCAACGGTTAACTGCTTCTGGGTATGGAAATAAGAAATGGAACTACCATGTACTACACTTAAACGTGGCGGTTATAGGAATGCGGAAAATATTGTGTAAAGTAATAGGAAAAAAAAAAAAAGAAAACATCGATATATTAGTATACACCCCTTAAGCAGTTGTGCATAATTCAAGCTGCATTGATCACCTGCGCCACAATCGAATTAACAATTAAGTGTAAGACGATTGACTGTGAATAAAAAACCGACCGCTGTAAAATGCATACAGGTGTATTTTAACATATCCCTATGGTGATCTTTTCCAGATTGACATAACTTCTCTTTTATGCACAATATACTTCAGTTCGTTCCACCAAGAGTTGTTCACATGAAGACATAAAAAAGGAAGACACCCAAGGTGTAACAAAATGGTGCCAACATTTCTCACTTACAATAACGCATACATGCCTTCATGCAATGTATATACATATTTCTTACATTGCCGTAGAGGAATAATTTCTTTTCTCTCTCCAAATAAGCAGTATTACCAAATCAAAATTACCAAAATGTGTTCATTAAAACAATTGAGGGGAAATTACAAGTCCTATACCGCTTGGAGGCGCGCATATATATTGTGCTTACACGTGTATGCGTTTGTGTGTGTACATACTTTTGCTTATAGGTTCCTTTGTTAATTCTTCCTGAAAAAGGGAATGGAGCCTATTTGTATTTGTACGTATTTCATTTCAGCGCCATTCAGAAGAAATGACACATTTATAAAAAAGTGCGCAATTGACTTTCTTTCCCCTTTTACGCGCTTTTTTTTCTTCATTCCTTTGTAAGAAGTCAAACTTATTTTTTTGTAAATGATGGCAAAATAATAAAAACACTTAACAAAAAGAAAAAGTCGAAAGAGTTTAATTTGATTATATTATAAATTCAGCAATGTTAAGCAGTCAGTATTATATCCCATTTCGCGTTCGAATTTTAGTGCTTAACACTTTGATTTAAATTTTTTTCTTATTTTTATTTCCCTTCTCATAACTTGTATGCGTGTCACGTTTGGGAGTCCTATTGCGACACTGGGAAATGGTATTTTTTGTGTTTGTTCTTCTAAAGCAAGTTAAAAGCAAAACTTATCATCATTCTAGCATTTTTATTGTCATTAAAAAGGGGTACATTGTTAAGCATGTCCAAGCATGACAATATGTGCTCATAGGATAATATATATATATGTATGTATATATGACATTCATACGTAATAAATACACATGCATATATTTTGTATACATGTGAATCCAAAACATCTGTCCTTGATTAAATACGTACATTTTCATGTGCATATGCGGATGCTTGTGTATACACGGGTATACATTAAACTACGGAAGAGGTTAAGAATATAATTCGTTCCTTTGCTAATGCACATGCGCAACGAAACAAAAGCAAAAATGCTATTTTACATTACGCTTCCGCACAAACCTCACTTGTGTGTTTTGCTTTTTTTTTTCTTTTTTTTTTTCTGTATTTCTTTATTTTCCTTCTGAAGGTTGTTTCATAATTGTTTCGTGAGAGAAAAAAATAACAATAAGCGAAGTGAAACCAACGAAAAGAAAAAAAACCAAGTGAGAAAAAAAAAACATGTGAAAAAAAACAAATAAGTGAAAAAAAAAATAAATGAAAAAAAACAAACAAGTGAGAAAAAACAAACAAATAAAAATGTAACCAACAAGTAAAAGCATAACCAACAAGTAAAAGCATAACCAACAAATAAAAGCATAATCAACAAGTAAAAGCATAACCAACAAGTAAAAGCATAACCAACAA